GCGCTCCCAGGTATCAGTTGAGGGGTGGGAATTTCCTGTTCAGCCAGAAGAAGCAGTTGGCTCGTCCCATGATGATCTGGAGGGGGAGGGTGGGACAGGACAGCTGCTCCAGAGAAAACTACGAGAAAAGGAGGTGGCACCTGACATTTAAGGCAGGCCCTATATGCCTCTCCTGTTTTGCCCTTCCTGTGGAACACCACCATCTCATCCTTCCTTCGCAGAAGGAGGTGCATATGAACAGTTTTTCTGACCACCTTGCTTTCAGTAAAACATAATAAGAATTATATTATAGGAACAGTGTGATAGTGTTCTTGTTCCATGAGCAACTTGATCCTTTTGTGCTTTGTTTACTTGGTTCCCCACCACCACCCTCTATCCTTAAGCTAGTTCTGATTCCCCACCGCCCCAGATTTATAAATGGGAATATAAAGATAAATGGGGAAATTATTCTGTAATATTTGACTTTGAGGTTTTTTAAAAAAAATAATAACAAATGAAGTTGTGCCTCTAACGAGCTCATGGCAACCATTTCCTTTTCTCATTAACCCTCTGGCGTCTCATGTATTTCCTCTGGAGCATCCGCTGCTGTCAGAGGCAGGATACTGTGCATATCCTTTAATATCTGCATGAGGAGAACAGGTACACTTCTGTTCATCAGCTGAGTGGTTAGGTTCATGTAGTGTTGAATGAGACAAGCCATTTCCAGCCTGAAAAGCTATGAAGGAGTTGGGTGGGGAGACGGCAGCAAACCTTTCCTCCACTGAGGCTCCAGAGATTTAATTTGAAACCTAGAAACCAACCCTTGAAATCTTGAAACAGCAGGCACCTATTCCCACCACCTTCATAATAGATGTAATGATGATGATGATGATGATGATGATGATGATGATGAAATCTCTGCACACCATTCCTATATGCTACTACTATAAGCAAGTAAAGGAAAAAGGTAAAGGACCCTGAACAGTTAAGTCCAGTCAAAGGCCACTATAGGGTTGTGGCGCTCATCTGGCTTCAGGCCGAGGGAGCCGCCGTTTGTCTGCAGACAGCATTCCGGATCTTGTGGCCAACAGGTTGGAGACCTTTCTGCACTGTGACTGAAAGTTTCCAGCAGTCTGTTGCCTATTTTGGTCCATCCGTGGAGCGGCTAATGGGTGAATGGTCTGCCTTCGAGCAGCAAGATGGGCCAAAGATCTTCCTGGCTTTGGAACTTTGTTTGGGGGGACCTCTGCAGGCATTGGCAACTTAGTAATGGTGAGCAAGTGTGCCTGAAAGACACCATGCCTATTATTGCCAACTTTTCTCTGCAGTTCATAGGCAGAGTCCTGAGGTTTCTTGAACTTTCATCTTCAGATTTATCACCAGTGGTGCGTTCCTGGAGGTCCCCCAGCAGCAGCGAGGTGGGCAGGGCTGCCTGCTGTTGCAGAAGAAGCAGCCTGCATGTGCCCAGAGCTGCAGGCAGGCGTTCTCGTGATCCAGCTTGGCCACTTGCTGCTCAATCTTCTCCAGCAGCTCCTGCTGCATCTCGACAATTTTGTTGAGTTCCTTGAGGTACTCCGCTGCTTTGCTTGGGTTCTCTGCTGGGGTCTTCATGGTCCCAGCCAAACCACTGAGAAGGCTGATGATGGCCTTACGCTGAGCTTGACTGCAAGTGCTGAAAAGGGACAGTGCTAAGCCATGCCAAGCCACCAGTCTAGCTACACCTTTCCCCCCTTTTCTTCTGCACAGTTGCAAGTCTGCTTCTTTACTAGGGAGCACCGACACAGCTGCTCTTACTTCGAGCCACCATTGCCCAAGGGCCCTCCTACAGCTCTCAGCCAGGCTTGCTGTGGCTGTGCCTAGACCCAGAGGGTCCAGCTGTTCTGCAGAGCCTCTTGACCTCTTAAGGTTTTGTGCGTTGATTCAGTACTTTGTTAAGTTTTGTTTGCTACATTTGGGGGGGAAATGAATGTTTCATTGGAGTACCAATCTAGCAGGCTGGTATTTTAATGGAATATTTGGAGCTTCTCCAATGTTGTTACTCATCTTCTGCTTGCTACACGTAACAAGCAACTTAATTTTTATAAAACAAAAGCAAAAAACAAAGACAATTCCCTGGGAATCCCTTAAATTTGATTTATATGCACTAAAGGGAACAAAAGTGTCATATTTATTCAGAGATCATATTAAAGGAATTCAGTAGCTAAAGAGAATGAAGGAGTGAAGCACATGTATTCTAAAATTTTATTAAAAACAGATTATTAAAAAATACATGGCTTGCTTTCCTAGTTAAGAAATTTGACAACACCATTAGATATGTGGAAATCCTGTTGATGGTTATTTATATTCTGACTCAATTTGCAGGAACAGCTAAGATGATCTAAAGCCACTGCTTGCCTTGTAATGATGAAATATCTACGTAGACTCACAGATTTAGGTTTTGTTTTTCTCTTTCATATTTGAAGCTGAAAGGAAATCAGCCATTAGTCATGTTTTCTAGTATGCAATGTACTGAATTCCCACAAACGTCCAGTGGGTTGTATCTGACTAAGTCCTCCATTGTTGTTGTTTAGTCGTTTAGTCGTGTCCGACTCTTCGTGACCCCATGGACCAGAGCACGCCAGGCTCTCCTGTCTTCCACTGCCTCCCACAGTTTGGTCAAGCTCATGTTGGTAGCTTTGAGAACACTGTCCAACCAAAGTCCTCCACAGAGTGGACCTATTAACAATAATGGGCCTGAGTTGGTTATAGCCATTAATTTCAATGGATTTACTCTAGGTAGAACTAGCACTGGATACAGCTGAGTGTCGTTTAATAAGGCAAAGTGTTCACTGATTATAGTTGCAATTTTTTTTCTTAATACAGATTACTTTTCTATGTATATTTTTCTTTTGTCCTCACAGATTGATTGTGTTATCCGTCAACGTAGCCTATCAAGTCTGGAATTGTTCCTCTCTTGTGCACAGAAACAACTGAGTTCTTTATTACATGAAGAATCTACATTAGATGCAGAACAAAAGAAACTGTCCCTCTAAAATCACAGAAAATGTATGTAGTTACTAAACTAAAAGCTGCGGATGTTCATTCTAAGACACTGAGAATTGAGTTATTGATTCAAGATTAATCAGACGGCCTTATTTGTTTTAGTCTTTGATTTTCACTTTCATGGCCATCTAGTTAAAGGATGCCTCCAAAGATAAAGGGTTTTACAATGGCAACTTTTTATCACAAGGGTTTCAGTAATGGCTGAAGAATGCAGTAACTGACAAGTCCCTGTTGAATAACTTCAGTATCACATTCTTTGAGAAGAAGCTCATATGGTTGCTCATTTAGAACTCTATACATGTTATTTATCGCTCTGTTAAATGGATGTAGAATCTTATTTTTCATTCCAAATCCATTTGACTAGAAGCAGGAGGTGGTAAACACTACCATTTACTTCTGGAAACACAAGGGGTAATATCTGAATTAAGTCATACTGAGAGCAGACTCTCTGAACCAGTGGACTTCACTAACTTAATTTTATTGATTTCACTGGATGTGCTCTGATTATGGATTAGCCTTAGTGTATTTAGCTAACTCTTTTGAAAATGAAAGAATAAATCTAAAGGCTTCTAAATTCTCAAATCAAGTCAAATGAGAAGGTATTGAAGATATCTGTATGTTTTTCACATATGTATAATGTAGTAATTCATGAGAAATAATTTTAAACTCTCTTAACTTCATTGCATTTAGCAATAAATAAAGTTTCCAAAAATAAGATAATAATTTACATGCTGAAATATTTAACAGCCTAGTTTTTCTATGCTTTTTATATTAGAAGTTATTCTCACTTTTCTTTATAAGTTTTTTCAGAAAAATACTGTTACAAAAGTCGTGTGCCTGCCCCTCTCTGCCAAGCAGTGGCAAGAGCCCATGAGGTCCCAGGCACCCCCACAGGGTCTGTGTCACTTTAGAGAATGGAAGACATGGTGGAGACTGTTGTGCTTTACGAAATATGGTTTATTCACCTATTTATACCTTCAGTCTGCATGGAGGGAGTCTAGATCTTATGGCATACACAGTTCGAGAGGCAGCAGTGCAGGCAACCTTCAGCTGCTTTCCTCAAAGTTGGATCTCCGCTCTCTCTCTCCTCCTTCTCAGAAAACCCCTTGCTTGAAAACTCCATTTTCCTGTCCCCTCAAATGTACACCCCATCACTCACCCCCCAAATTAAAGGATTGCTCTCCATAGTGTCCTGTCAACACCTTTTGCCATGTTAGGTTTGCTTTTCACTAAGCCAGCCGGGCTGGTTTGCATAAACCAGCCTAGAAATTCCTTTGCCGCTTGCATTCTCCTTTCATATCACAAATAACCAAAACCCTGGCATTTATTCATTTCTAAGGTTTGCCCTAAATCCATAACAATACAGTTTGCTTAGTAGGATAGAGGTCAGGCATTCACTTGATGGGGGGACCTCTCCAAGCTGGCCAGCGACTGATTGCCATCTCAGCAGGTAGGAATCATTTTTCATTGTCTAGATCTGCACTGACATAGTTGCTGGAAACTGGAGTTCCAGGTGAATTTTAGAGAATTTATCCTGTTTTGCCTTGTTCTTTACTTTATGTATTTATTTTTCCTTCTCACCTCTTTTTCTACTTTCTTTCTCACTACCACTTTCCACATGAAGCACATGACTACAGGTGGGAAGGGGAGAAAGGAGAAAAAGTGCTTTCAACCCACACAGTGTCTGTGCTTGCACCAGTTAAAGCCACCTTCTCCCCATCCTAGTCACCTGTATCTTCTCTGCTTTCAAGCAGGACAAGGAAGGCGCACTAACTCAAATGCCACAGTAGGTGAAATGTCCATCAATATGGAGCAGGCCACCCAATATAAAAGACTTAATCAAAGGTGCCTGCTGGACAAAGATAGCACTACTGGAAATGCATTCTGCTTACCATTTACTGTATGACCCTGGAGAACAGAGAAGTGGGAACTTTATATTCAGACATAAATTTATCTGGCTCATGAGTATCAAGAGATCTGCTGTATGCTTAGTTGGTTAGAGTGTGGTGCTGACGATACTTAGGTTGCAGGTTCGATCCCTGTATGGGACAGCTGCATATTCCTGGGTTGCAGAGGGTTGGATTAGGTGATCCTCAGGCTCCCTTCCAACTCTACAATTCTATCATTCTACTTGGCAGTGTCCTATGTCTACTATTCATCAAACTTATAGCAAATAAAGAAGCAGAAATCTGGAGTTAATCCTGATAGCTCCCCATTGGTCTGATTTTCAGACTCCACAGCATCATAGAATAGCAAGGTTAGAAAGGGCCACAAGGGTCATGTCACCCCTTGCAATGCAGGAGTCACAGGTAAATGCCCTGCTAGCAATGTGCTCACATTGGAAACTACCAAGATGGATGGTTCTTACCATTCAGCACCAGTATTTCAACAGAAAGATTTTCCAAATGGTACAGTACAGTACTTAGATTTTGAACAGGAATGGTTTGAAGGGCTTTGGATACCCTGTAGATATATGTACTGGGTACTTTTCTAGCCTCTTGGTGCCTGGCACTTAAGAGGCCTTCCTAATATAGTTCAAGGATGGCAAGATTTCAGGTAGGTTGCTAAAAAAAAAAAAATCACAAGAAAGGGTGTTTAAGGGCTTTAGTACCAGCACACCCAAGTGTGAGGTGGATGCCTTGAATAGCAATTGCCACAGATTGGTGGGGATTTTCCTGTTCCCAAAGAGGGCATCCTTATCCTTCCTACATACAGCTACCTATTCACTTAGGTACAACCAGTGGTTTTTTGTCTGGGGGGACGCATACCCCTAATCATTTTGTGAATCTTTGCACTTTTGTCCATTTACTGAATTTATTTTTTCCAATTTGAACTATAAAATGGTGGTTTTCTTGAGTCAAAATGAGAGTACCCCTAAACATTTTTTTTAGAAAAAAGCACTGGGTAGAACCATCCACCTGAGCAGCCAAGGCACCAAAATCCTGGTGAAGGATGGGTACCAATGAATCCAGATAAAGCTTACTATCCAACAGAAACACAAGTCAAAGGAGAGATAGTAAAAACTGAAACAAGAGGGAAAATGCAAAGAAGATAAATATATGACACAAAAAGACAACTGAACCAATTTCCCCCAGTACCAGTATACTTAAATGGGTGGAGTTAGGCAACACTCTGCTGCTATTAATTAGTGGGCTTAATAAGGGGCAAAAGCTGAAGAATTCTTTAGATTAGAAGACCTAGAATGGACTGCATACTTGCAAAGGAGGAAAGATAGCAAGGGATCCAACACAGAAAGAGAGAACAAAAACAGAGTTGGGAAAACAGGCAAGAGGTTTGGAAGGGTCACGATTAAGATACTGTGTGCACAAGGAATAAAAAAGATAAGATGATTTTATACTCATCAGGCTAAAATTATATTAATGTTAGTTAAATGGATTATAGCTGCCAGAGAGAGAAAATAAATTGAGAAAACGACCCCAAGCCTTAAAATCTTGGGGGACAACCACAGCTGAGGGGCAAAAGAGAAAGGAATCCAAACAGAAAAACGCCGGCTAAATAAGAACTCTTAAGACACATGAGTTGAATGTGATGCCCAGAAAGAATGTCCTTACAAGCTATACCAAAATAGCAATCCTGTTTCACTGATTCAATCCATGCTTTTCTGGCAGTACAAAACATTCCACAAATCAAGTATAATTTAAGAACCTCTCTCGTTTATGCTCTGCTAACACCAGCCCTAAAGGGGCCATTCCTCTACTGAGGATGACCATAACATCCACACCCACTTCCTCCACCACCATGAGAGCCCCAACAGACTTGCAAGTGGAAAAAGAACAGATTTTAAGGCAATAGTTTCATGATAAAGAGCACTCTTCTGCTACAGTTGCCTTTGCCGGTGGATTTTCATCAAACATTCTACAAGAAAGGAGGCCACAACCAATGTTATCAAATGTTTTTGCTGCTTGACAAAAAGTGACTGATTTTCACATTAGAAATAAAATCAGCCTAAATGCTGAGGGGAAAATGCCATTAAGGAATTAATGGGGCCTGACCTTTTGCTGCAAATACTCTTGACAAACTTTTTTTTTATTCTTTATTAAACAGAAGGTTGATGATGTAGGTATATTAATATTCTTCCAATTTTATAAATAGAATGACCCAATATCACCATTCCAAGTTGGCAAATCTGTGTGTTTTTTGTGCATCCTCATAGAATAGTCAGCAAACAAAATCACTGTATACGTATAACTAGCCCTAAGGCTGCAAAACAATCATGGATCACAGTCTCGAAGCTCTTCAAGCACTGGATCACCCAGGATATGTCGGTAGTTCTCATGGGGCCATGGTCATTCCCCCTTTGGTTTCCTCAGACATAAGAATATAAGAAGACCCTGGTGGAACAGGCCAAAGGCTGATGTTCCAATACTGTTCTCACAAGGGAAGCCCACATGCAGAGCTAAGAGGCTAAGCCAGAATTCTTGGGATGGGTCCAACAAAAAATTGCTCAGGAAATTAAAACTCATGGTAGCGGCATGATTACAAAGTGGCTACATTAAAAATCATCCTCAAAGAAAACATCAGAAGAAATTATACTGGAAATTATTGGTGATTCTATTGACAAATCTACTCCAGAGAGTGGTACTTCTACTCTCTATCTACAGCACTTGTGTTATGAGCAACACAGGACTCCTACTTTTCCCCTTCTGCTTTTTAACATTTACACAAAACTGTTGCAGATCTGCAGTGATGTGCCAGCAATATGGCGATTCCAAAATGCATATTAGGGCAATATTTTTGATTAGGCCAATCAAAATACCACAAAATAGTGTAAAAACTTTGTGGCATTTTGGTGGGCATAATAAAGATATTTCCCTAATTTGAATTTAATATATTTGCATTATTGTGAAGACACTCAGCCCTCTTCCACTTTTCACCACACAGTCCATGCCCTCTTCAACAGAAAAAAGGGTCTTGCATTATGTACATGGCCTCAGTCATCCATAATGATGCAGTATCTAAAAATGTCCTGGTGGTTTCCTTTGCACAGTGGTACCTTGGTTTACAAACAGTCTGGTTTGCATATGTTTTGGATTACAAACATGTCAAACCCGGTTTGCAAACTTTTTTTGGATTACAACCCATTTTTTGGATTACAAACAAAAAAATTTGGAGGCCCCATTGGCAAAAGCGCACCTTGGGTTACAACCTGTTTTGGTTTACAAATGGACCTCCAGAACGGATTATGGTTTTAAACCAAGGTACCACTGTACAAGGAAGAAATTTCCAAGCTTGACATTTACTACTTAACTTATTTGCACACGATTGCTATGGATAAAAGAGCCTTACTTTATAAGGAACTACAGCTGAGGGTGCTCATCCATGTGGAAGCAGTCAATGACATGAGCTTTAGAAAACCTAACTTTGTGGGTGTGCCTGACCTGTGATCATATCTATTTTACAGAGAGCAGTTTACATTCATGGCATCGTTTTAAGATGAGTAATTTTTAGCAATAAATGACACTTCCATATTTTTCCTGTCTTACAAACTGTCTCTCTTTTTTTAAAAAAGACATTTTAATATGTTCCAATTTCACATTTGTTTACTTAATCTATAATTCTTCAAGTTTCTGACTTCCTTATAAAACCAGCATTTTTTACGTTCTTTCCATTGTCCTTCATGACTAATGTGGCACAAGAATTTTGTAAGAATAAACACTTGTGCTAATCCATTTTTCTCTTTCAGTGGTATTTTAAACAGTTTGACAGTTGGCTCTAGTAAAGGTAAAAAGTTGTTCTTAAAACTGGTTCTTAGCAAAGAGTTGTTGATGAATTGCTACATGCCTGAAGTTTGGCCTGTGATTTTAGTGTGCAAGACAAGCAACTAGAGTGTGATCCACTTTCTCTGATGTTTATAGATAACACTTTTCACATTGTACTATTTTATCGTTAAGTGGTATTGTTTGCCCTCCCTCCTCCCTCCCCGGGCTTAGATGCTAGTTTCATTTAATCAAAAACACTTCAGTGTCTTCAGTTGCCAGCAAACAGCAGAGTTGGTTTCCTTTGGGCCATATTTAGCTGCTGGCACACGCAAGTGGGAGGAAAATTCTGATCAGTGTCTCCTGAGTTACAATGTGGGGTTTCTACTATTGAAAAAACACTGAATCCTTATCTTTGTAGACACTTGGTTCACTCAACAAGTGAATAACATTTTGTGTCTGGTTCAGGGGTCAGCAACCTTTTTCATCCAGGGGCCGATCCACCATCCCTCAGACCATATGGTGGGCTGGACTATATATTGGGGGGGGAGAGATGAACAAATTCTTATGCCCCACAAATGACCCAGAGATGCATTTTAAATAAAAGGACACATTCTACTCATGTAAAAACACACTGATTCCCGGACCGTCCGCAGACCAGATTGAGAAGGCGATTGGGCCGTATCCAGCTCCCGGGCCTTAGGTTGCCTACCCCTGCTCTGGTTCAAAGAAATATATATGCAAAGTATGACTCTAAACACTTCCTCGGTGATCCAAACGTGTACCAGAAGGCCCAGACTTCAACTTCCATCAGCACTAACAACCCCCTCCTAGATTCTGATCGCAGAGTATGGACCATTTGTACTGGCACTGCAACCAGTGAGATCCACTTCTACGCATTTATTTGCTGCTTCAGCAGGTTGTGCTACTCGTTGAAGGAATGAAAGTATCTGAGCAAAGATGAGGATGATGATGTCACTTTCCTCACAAAAGTGACCCAAAGTAACTCAGAAAAACAGTATAAACACTAAAACCAATTATAACAAACATAACCCATAAAAGCCTAAATATCTATACAAACAAAACATAGGTTTTGCAGATCCCACCCAACTAAAAGAAGCCACAAATAACTATCTACACAACCAAAAATTATTGTTAATACCACTAGCCAAAATGGCTGCACGAACAATGCTTTCCTAATGTTATTCATCTAGGAATCATAGAATCATAGAGTTGGAAGAGACCACAAGGGCCATTGAGTCCAACCCCCTGCCAAGCAGGAAACACCATCAGAGCACTCCTGACATATGGTTGTCAAGCCTCTGCTTAAAGACCTCCAA